TTTTAAAGTTTGTATAAAAGTTTTATTTAAGGCAAATGAGTAAAACAGTGCTGGGCGGACGGGGGTCTCTTGCCCCACCAATGGTCTGCAAATTCAATAAGTTTCAGTTTGGTTTTTTATAGGTTTATAGCTTCCCGCCTTCCCCAGGGTCTCCTCCTGTTTTCTTTTTTTTTTTTCATTATCAGTTCAGTTTGCGCATGCTCTGTTCTTGCTGCTAGGGGCCCCTTCTTCCCTGTTTCTTTTCTTCCTTATCAGCTCTGCCTGTCGTCTTCTTCTTATCAGGTCTGTCTGCCTCCTTCCTCTTATCAGCTGTGTCGCACAGACTCTGTTTTTGTTTTTAGGGGCCCCTTCTTCCCTGTTTCGTGTCTTCCTTGTCAGACTCTGCTCCTGTTGCTAGGGAAATCTCTTTCTACATATATATCTAAGATCTACGGGTAACATAATAGAATATAGTTCATCATGATAACATAACATTACAGTTTGCAATTACAGTATTACAAATGTAATTTGATAAGCAAATTATCTCTTTTTGTCTTTATGGACTATCACATCCATGGCACTTGTCAGTAGTGGCGGCATGGGAAGCGTGGCCGCGAGGCTTGTACAGGCTCACGGCGCGAGCTCACAGCAGAGGCGACGTCGAAATGGCGCGCGGCGGCGCAGGGCGCGTGAATGCCAGCGGCTGCGGTGGCAGCGCGCAGACCACGGCGTGGAGCCATGGGACGCACGGGCGATAGGCCGGGGCCAGGCGGCGGGGTTGAGAGAAAGGTGGAGGTGCGCCAGGGCCAGGGAGGCGGCAAGGTGCTGGGAATCAAGGTGCACTGGGACCTTGTCGAAAGCTGCCGAGACCGTGCCCGCAGCTGTGCCGGGTCCCTGCCGTGCCGCGGCCGGAGGAGCGGCGGCAATGCCGCAGCTGCGGAGCCCTGGCGGTGGGGGGGGACGGGCGGCGGGAGTGTGTCTTGCCTCACTGCAAAAATCCCCTCACAGCGCCGCTCGTGCCAAGATGGGGAGCGGCGGGCGCGGCAGGGCAAGAAACGGCCAGGGGGGTCAGCCCGACCCCTGAGCGGCTACGCAGGCTGGCCCGGCTACACAGCTCTGCGCGGCTCGGGCGGGAGTGAGAGCCTGCGGGGCCGAGGCACGGGGACACGGCCAGGCGAGCCCCAAAACGGGGCACTGCGCGGAACCAGCGTTGCGCTGGGACGGGGACAGCGAGCCGTACAGCCAAGCCAGGACTGCAGTGTTCAACAGCGTAACAAAACTGCCGAGGTTGCAATGCCGCCGGTACGGCAAGCTCGATGCTGGCAAGCCGCTTGTGCAAGCTCAGAGAAGGCGGCGAGCTGCGGAACAGCCGCGCGGCGGCACAGAAGAAAAAAGCAAGCCACGTGTAAGAGTCAGCGCTGCTGCATCTTTGCAGGGAGCGCGTGGGGCCGGGGCCGGGGCCGGGGCCGGGACAGCGCGAGCTGCGAGCAAACGGCAGAGCCGCGGGCAGGGAGGGAGGCGGCACGAACACAAGCTGGCGCCACGCAGAGACCCCTGCAGGGGCAGCCCTGCAGTCCGCGGTTGAAAATAATGCAGCTGAGCAGAGCCGAGGCTGGGAAGGACGGCTCCGCCCCTTGTGCTGGAACAGAGTGGAGCGGAGCTGAGCTGCAGCTAGCTGAGCTGCCTCTTGCACAGCTCAACCCCAGAACTACAGTGTCATGCTGTGTGCCTCCAGAGACATACAGAACTAAGTTAACATTGTATCTTCTTGTCTTGAAAACCTTTGGTAAGAACACTGAAGCTTTAACAGTTTTTCCTAATTTTTTCATTAGTTCCTCAGTGACTTTGTTTAAATTGTTAAGGTCGTTAAGTTGTTAAAGTTGTTAAGCTCTCAAGTGCACCTACATAGATGCAGTTGTTGTGAAAATGTAGTTCAAATAACGTTTAAAAAGTTCTTAAGCATCTCCACACCTTGTTAATTAATGCATTCAGATACTATTATCCCAAAAAGGTGGGCCTAGTGTCAGCAAAAATGCAAAAATAACTGCTTGTGGGTCATTAAGAGACTGAGTTAAAACTGATTATGATTGCTCTAACCAATATCATTCAAGAAATAGGACTGCAAAATACTCCAGAGGAGATTCATCAACCCAACAATGGAACAGATCTACAATGGAGAAGATTGCACAGTAACCTTCAACTTTGAGGTAAAAGACATTAAAAGATATTAAAATGACTTATTGACTTTACTTCAAGCTCCAACAAAAGAATCACCTCTCAACCTTCAACTTTGAAGTAAAAGACATAAAAAAGCATAAAATGACTTATATTGCTTTACTTCAAAAAAAGCCATTCCTGGACATAATTATAGAAAAAATGCATATTTGCCTAGCCTCCACGTCTGTTTCTTCCACACTATCCACCTGAAACTGTCTACATTATTATTAACATATTTGTTAAGTTTGTTATTAAGAACAAAAAGCAACTACCAGAAATGGATAGACAAAGGCTGAAAAATTAACTGCATCCTGGACACTGAGAACAGCTTGGACTGCTTGCTTATGGGGGATGCTGGATTTCAGGCTGTGTTAGCATATTGTAATGGTAACTGTGCATCTTTGAGTTTATTGACTTTTGATTTTCTGAACAAGGCTCACTCGTGGAGCAAGCTGCTGTCGGGGAAGCACAATGCACACCAAATGTGTTTAAAAAAAACAGTAAAAAGGGGGGGAAGGAATATAGGTCTCCTCTATGTATGTAAACTTACATTAACTCTTCTTCAAAACAGAAAAATCACAAAGGAACAATAATTGATAAAACAGAACCAGAAGAAACACATAAACAATATCCACTACAAACCCCCAAACTACGTGATTTAAAGAGACATAATAAAAATTCTAGGTATACATGAGTGAGGATGACTGAAGTGGCCACTTATGTATGAATGTGAAAGCTGTATAAATGAGAGAAGCTGTGTGAACATGTATGTGTGTAGACTTAGAAATACTTTCATAACACAACGCTTATTCATTAAAAACCCTCAGATCAATAAAGTTGTTGTTTACCCAATTACACACAAAACCTTAGGTAGAAGGTTCTAAGCGAATTTGCTTATTACAAATTCTAAAGGTTGCACTGTTAGTAAAGTTATATGAACAGTTTCAATAAAGGCCTTATCACGTTAGGCCCTGATTACATAGATAGTTAAAATAAGTTTAAGAAAAAGGTTAAGAATCGTTCTGTTGCTTGTCATAATGTTAAAAACTGTTCTATTATATGCACTGTTCTGTACTTCTTCATTAAAATAAAAATGGGGGATATGTAGGAGTCGGGTTTTAGGAAGGATGCCAGAGGGGCATCCTGGGATGTGAAGTCCCGAAGTACTCCCTGCACATGGGCAGTGAGATACCCCATGGTGGTTGGTCAAGAGAGTCACGTGTTGCTTTGAGGTGAATATAAAAGATGTTATCTCATTTGAATAAACGGATTTGGTTGCTGAACCCCAATCAGCTAGCCGGGTCTGTGTGAGCTTATTTATTTATTATATTAATAAGCCATAAGGAACAAGTGCAAGGAAGATGCGAAGTTCAGGATTTCTCCTTCTGCCTTGTCTGCTCTCGATTGCCTGAGAACATGTCTTTAATGCCTGCTTTGCCTCTGTGGTCAAGGACTGACCAGATGTTAAATCTGGATCGCCTTTTAGCAGCTCAAAGAGGGGGTGAAGTTCCTCTGTAGTTTAGCCTAAGATAGGCCTTAACCAGTTGATAGCTCCTAAAAGTTTCTGCAAGTCATTCAAGGTTAAAGTGTCCTTTACCTTAATTGTCAGTGGTTGGGGTGAGATTTCTTGCTGCGTGATCCTCCATCCAAGATAGGTCCAGGGTTGAGATCGTTGGATCTTCTCTGGAGCGACCTGTAACCCTGCTTCTTGGACAGCATTAGTCAGAGCAGTTATAACAGTTTGTAATTCAGTCTCTTTGGCCATGGTGACTGTCATCCATGTAATGGTAAATAATTGCTGAGGGGTGAAGCTTTCTGACAGGATGGATAGCTTTTGCCACAACAGTCTGACAAATCGTTGGACTGTTACGCGTCCCCTGAGGCAAAACAACCCAGTGGTACCTCTGCATAGGCTCTGGGTGGTTTAAAGCAGGGATGGAGAAAGCAAAGCGTGGTGCATCATCAGGGTGTAGGAAAATGGTGAAAAAACAGTCCTTTAAGTCAATCACTGTTAATAACCATTCTGCTGGAAGCATAGCAGGTGAGGGGAGTCCTGGCTGTAATGCTCCCATGGGTTTTATGACTGAGTTAACTGCTCTTAGGTCTTGCAGCATCCACCATCTGCGGAGTGTTCCACGGACTGGAGGTTGGCACTATGCGTCCTGCATCTAGTTGCTCTTGGACTAGGTCTCTTAGGTGAACAAGCCGTTCCCTTTTCAGGGGCCATTGATTTACCTGTATAGGGTCATGAGTTTTCCATGTCAGCTTAATTTGTCCTTGGAATGGCTGGTCAATGGCCCTCATTGAAAATCCTGAGCATCTCTAGTTGCAACCTGCATGACAGTGCCAAATTGGCCTAGCACATCTCTTCCCCACAAAGTGCATGGGATAGGAGCAACAAAAGGGGCTATCTTGGTGTAATGGTTTGAGAGCCCCAAAATCCAATTCCCGAGTCCTAGCCCCCCTCCCACATCTCAACCCAGTGTGAGATGGGTTTTTCCAGACACCACACAAGACTCAAAATGGGGGGAAAGGGATATATTACAATACACTGTACAAATAAATATTATAATACATCACACACACAATCTCAAGTATCTCTACTATGATAAAGCAGTATTTACAATGGATCAAATCTCTTCTTCCTCCAAATAAAAAGTCCAGGAGGGAAGAAGGAAGAGATCCTTTACACTTTCAGAGCAGCAACCTCTCTTCTGTCTTCCATGCAGCAGCTGTAGCTGGACGGTTGTAGCTGGATCTCTTTCCAATACACACAAGGGGGTCTCCTCTCACCCCTCTCGACCCTTCAAGCGAAGGTCTCACCCGTGGACTACCAGCAGGGACAAAACTCGCTTCACCACAGGCATATCACGAAATGCAGGGGCATCTTCGTGAAAGTCCCTTCCTCAGGGGATTCACCTCTGAGTCAGAACATCTCAGGCAAGCTTTCAGTTGAAGGCCTTTGCCTCAAGAGTTCTATCAGAGCTTCCATGCTCTGATCTCAGGCTGCTAACTTCTCAGCAGCAGCGAGGGAGGGCCAAGGTCACCCCCTCTGCATTCCTTTGGCCGTCTCGGTCCAGCTTTCCGGGACGCCTGAGCTTCTTAGCTCCTCTCTGTCTCTCTGGTGCTGCATTTTAGGACTCCTCTCAGGTGGGAGTCCACCACCCCTCCTCTCTATGAGAGGAGAGGTCTCCAAGGAGTTGGGGGGAGTTTTGGTTTTCAGTTCTTACCCACAACTCTGTCCATAGAGATTAGTTCTGCTCTCTCTCTCTCCATCAGAGATCTCTGTGTCTCTCTGGCTAGCTGCGTGCTTGGTTTGCTGCTCCTTATCTTCTGTTGGCTCTCTGCCACTCCTCCTCGGTCAGTGCTGTTTTGCTGCCGCTTTCAGTATCTCTTGCTGCTGCCCACAGCGCAGAAGCTTCCCCCAGCTCTCGGCTACAGAACTCGACCCAGTTTAATACTGTTCCAAGTTCCTGCATCCCCCAGCTGGGGGGCTGGGGGGCTGTGGCCCCCAGAGGGTCTCCTGCCCCTGCTCCTCGTGGCTCTACAACATGGCCACCTCTCTCCAACAACAACTACAACAACCTTCTTTTCGGTCTACTTGTGATATGTTTATATTTTGCAAGAGCGCTGATTGGTTCGACCCCAGGGTCACCACCCCCTGGGGGTTACCATTTTTTTATAACTCTAGGGGGGAAAACTGTTTCCCCCCACCACACTTGGCAACCTGCCCCTCTGGCCCCAACACTGTACGTATTCGTGCACTCTGTTTAGGCCTCTGCATGTCTCCAACCCCTTGGATGGTTGAAGCAGGAAATACAGTGGACCAGTCAGCTGGCCAGTCAGTGTCTTTTACAATAGTAACGTCTGCTCCTGTGTCCACCAAACCTTTGAATTTGCATCCGTCTATGTGACAAGTCATAATTGGTCGTGCCATAGAAATAGTTTTTGCCCAGAATATTTGAGGCTTGCCTGTGCTCCTGAAAGCCCCCGAGCCCCTTTCCCCCTCCCCAGTCGGTGACGCTGTAAAAGGGGATTAGTTGGGCAAGCAATTGTCCCTCAGGTATGTAAGAGGGAGGCGCTGGGGTCCATGCCATGATTTGTATCTCACTATGAGAGTCAGAGTCAATCACTCTGGGTAATGATGCCTGTAGCTGATGCTAAAGAAAAAACTCAGGAACAGTTAATTGAGGGTGAGATAAGGAAAGAGTTTAATTTGTGCCAAGGCATAGATGTTACAGGACGCGCGCGCCTGTGCCTGAGATGTTACATTTTATAATACTGTTTGACCAATCCAAGTTTTGCCCATCCCGTTGCCTTTGCTCTGGTCCACCCCCTGGCCCACCCCCTGGGAATTGGGTCTGTGGGCTTTTGGGACCACCTCTTCATCATTCTCATCATCCTCAGAGCACAAAGGGTACACGGTCACCCAGTTCTTGACTGTGTTCTGTTGTTCGGGCCAAGATATGAGTGTTCTCTAAACAGCATAGTCCTTGCCTTGACAAAAGACTAAACATTTCTACTGAATTCAGGGGTAGGATTGATATGGGGTTCATGGAATGGGGTAAGAGGGTTGAGAAATGTGTAAACTACTTGTGCTACAGGGTAAAGGAACAAGGGCTACTGCTTCTAAAATCTACTTCTAAGGCATCAGTAAGACAAACCAACCCATCCTGGTGGTTGACGATTGTCCGATTAGAAGGGCATGGACTCCTGGGCCTAGGAGTCCCCAAACTCCTGTGAGAATCAACACTACAGCAGTGGAAGTTATATTTATTGGTCTATCAGAGGCCAAGTCCAGGCCTGCGCTTCCTGCCATGGCGGCAAGTCACCAATCTGTTTTCTTGGGCCCTATTTATTTGCTGGACCGGGGCGCGTGGCTTCGTGCCCCGTCTGCAGTTTCCCTGATGGGAAGGGTTTTTTCTCAGGTCGACTCGACTTCGACCTTCATTAAACCACCACTTCCCATGGTGACATTTTTGGCATACTGCCGAGGGGGGTTTCTTTGGGCAGTCCTTATAAAGATGATCAGCAGCGTCACATCGGTAGCAGCTATCTTTCCCTTTTACTCCGTCCTGTAATCTCAGCTGGGCGCTTAAGGCTGTTGCTAGAGAGGCAGTGTGATGTTCGACCGATCTGACGCCCTGACACGCTCAAACCATCTTGCCTATGGTGCAGCTTTCCCTTTTAGGGAAAGTCTGCAAGGCTCACTTACAATCTGGGTTTGAATTCTCATAAGCAAACTGCCTAAAAAGCAACTCTCTAGCATCCTCATGTTCTATTTGCCTGTTTAAAGATGCCTGCAGCCAATCGAGGAATTGTGAGAAGGATTCAGTCAGTCCCTGAAGGACCTTTGTGAAGGACAAGTTGCTATCCCTGTCCGTGCTAGGGAGTTTTCTTATTGCCCTTAAAGCCATTTTCGCGATCACCTCATATATCTCCCAAGGGTAAACCTATCTGGGATTCAGTTGCCATGTAGGCTCCCTCCCCTGCCAAATGATTACAAGTCATGCCCGCCTGCAAACGACCTGGGTCATTTTGCATAAGCTGCGCAATTCTCCCAAAAGTCAGTTAACCAGATGCTGTACTGCGTTGTTGTTAAAACCGTCTTTAACAGCATCTTCCAATCATGAGGTGTAAATACATAGGTAGTACTCAGTGTCTCCAAATACAAAAACATATGAGACGAGGAAACGCCACTCTCTTTAACAATTTGCCTCAATTCCTTGGTCATCTCATAGGGCAAACTTTGGAATTGAGGATTGTGCCGTGGCCAGTATATAACTGGACATGCATTAATAACTTTCCAGTCTCCTCACCACACCGCTTCCTTGCAACATTTTTCCCACCAGTTTACTGACACCCCCGCATTTGCACACTTGTCGTCGTCTAGAGGAACTACAGCTGATTCCTCCTCAGCATCCTCTGATGCCTCACTACCCGCGGTTCAGACACACTCGGCTCCTGGTAGCGGCATGCCAGAAGATGGCTGCTGTGACGGAAAAGGCATACCCTCCCCATTCACGCGGTTGGGACAAGATCGCTGTGGGGCCAGAAGAGACGGCCCAAGTTCCGGTCCCTTTCGCATGCAAGATGGTTGTGCCCATGTCACACTTCTCTCGCCACGAGGCCACAGCTCATCAGCGACAAAGGGGGGTGAGTTGTCTGGGTTCCCCTCCCCCATGTCGCGGCAGGAATTCACAAACCACCCCTGTGTAATGGATTCACAGTTAAAAATTTGTGCCCCTTCACTGCAGCTCGCGCATGCGCCAAAACCGAGACTCTCGCTGTAACTTACATCGCCCTCCCTCTGTTCCTGCCTGCACAAAGTCCAACCCAAACCCACTGTTAGGTCCTCTCGATATGCACGCAGGCCCCCCCCACCCCCATGTCTGTTCCTGATCTCTGGGGAATGGCTATGCCTAGCAATATTGGTGGGGGGTGCAGGAAAATGGGTGTTTGAGTCTCTGGGGGGGTTCTGCTTTCTCTGAGCAATTTGCAGGGCGTTCCAAGCCGGCAAACATCTGAAAGCTTCCACATCCCCAAACATCGATCTTTCTCTCATCATCCTCCCAAGTTTTTGTCAGGTGGTTATATTTAAGGCTCCGACCAGCAGAAGCCCTGGTGCAATGATTTTTATCCATTGCAGCAGTTCTGTTATGTTCGCATGTGTGATCTCGGTGGGATATTGTCTTAGCAAGAGACACATAGCTTCTGCATCTCTTTCTATCTCCTGGGAGACTGAATTCCCCATGCCGTCTTCCTACCTTTTTTTCTTCACCGCTTTTCCTCTCGGTGTCCCTTCTCCGTTGTTTTTTTCTTGGCATGCGTTTTTCACCACTTTTCTTCTTCGCTGCTTTTTTCTTCACTGCTTTTTTTCTTTTGCGCATGTACTGTAGTTTTCAGAGCTCTATTCACCAGATCGCTGTGTTGCGTCCTCCAGCCACCTTCTGCGCTGGCTTCCCGACACTTTTATCAACGTCTTTGCTTTTTTCCGGAAAGCGTTCCTCAGCTTTTAAAACAAGATAGTGCGAATGCTACCACAATTTTTCCTTGGTGCAAGGCAGTCTTGAATCATTCCTGTTACAGGGAAAGTCCCTGCTCGGGCGCCAGATGTGGCGTTTATTAATATAATAAATAATAAACTCACATGACCTGGTTGGTTGAGGGTCCAAGCAACCAAATCCATTTATTGGAAGCAAACAACACCTTTTATATGCACTTTAAAACAACATTGATTCTCTTAACCAATTACCATGGGGTACCCCAGTGCCCATGTGTGCAGGAGTACATTTGGGACTTCATTTCCCAGGATGCTCCTTCCAGCATCCCTAAAACACGCCCCCTACATCACCCTGCAGTTGAATTTGCTAATGTGTTATGAGCAGCTGGGAGGCTTATGTGGCTCACATTGGAGAATGAACACTGTGGGGCCAGGGGTTAAGGTTGAATGGTGCTTCTCCAAGAGTCACTTGAGATAACCCGCCAAGGGTTTCAAGAAAGTCAACCTATCTTGTACTAAAAGGTGTGAGAAGCTGCAGGTGGGCCACCAGTTCATGAAGTGACTAGACTGGGGGCCAATCTGTTCACAGCTAAGACTTTTATGGCTATTTTTCAACACAGTACAAGAATCTCCACCACCTACACTTGTAGGTGCTTCCCAGAACAGTCTCCTGTCTTGGTTACAACTGAACTGGTCGGTGGAAAGAGCTGCCAGATCCTAAGGAGGTCCTGAAAAAAAGGCTGGCAGTTTGGATGGTTATTAGGAAGCTAAGGGTCATTATGAAGATGACATTGGGCTAGAGGGATCTTCGGTCTGACCTAATATGACCATTCTTATTCCCTCCTTATGTTATACTCTTCACTGAGGTGAGCAGATGGAAGATGACTCAACTAATGTTAAGGTTGAGATCAGCTGCCATGTACTTCCTATGTGAAGTCATCAGGTTTCTGGTGTCCAAGTATTTTCCCCTTTGAGTCAACTGAGACTGAACTCACCTTCTGCTTTTTGTGTCCACCCTGGAGATCAACAGAAAACAGCCCCTACACTAGATCATTTACTTATCTGAAACAGAGCCAAGCTAGTTATAGACTTGAACATCATCAGGACCTGGGAAAGATCTGGACTCAGATATAGCCTATTCTGCCTTGGTAATTATTTCATTTTGTGCCCAGGGCATTTGTGCATAGTTTTCATCAAACCTTGTTTTATCAATGTTAAGCCAAGTGTGGTGGTGGTAAGGTGCTGTGGTTGGCAGTGCTGGGTATGCCTGCCCTCATACACTGGCCCAAGGGAGCCAGCTGTCATTGCTTGGCATGGTAGCAGTCAAATTTAAGCAGCTTGAGGAGTCTTTTTAAGGTAGGGAGATGAGAGGATTAGGGGAGGGAAACAGATGCTTTCACTGTTCATCCTTCTTTGTTGTGTACTCTGGTTTTATACTTACTGCTATGAAGTATCACTATTGCCAGCCACAAGGTTTCATTTGGGACCACCCTGTGGATACCTGGAACTTGGACTGTATAAAGGTGGTACTCCCAGAAGAACAACTCCGAGAGTCCCACCACCAAGAAGCCCAGGGTGAAGAAGGACCAACAGGATGCCGCTGGATACACGTGTGGTGACTGTCTTCTGCTTGATCTCTCTCTCTCTTTCTCTCTCTCCTCCCCCTTTTCTATTTCTTTCTCTCTCTCTACCTCACATTTACTGTTAAATAAAATCTGTATTGTTGACTTCAGCATATGGTCTTGTTTGCACCTTAATTCGGGCAGAGGCATGTCTCACTAATTGGATCATAACAGCAGCGAGGGGGATTTCAGCCAGCCCCTGCAGAAAAGCCAGGCTCTCCAGATATGGGTGTGACACAACCACCCCAGCAAGACCTAGGCACCCAGCACATGCATGTGAGTCACTGGGAGCTGCTACTTAAAGAGACAGGAAGGAATGCTTCAGCATTCAGAGGTCTCACTGTATTTACACCTACATAATTGCTATACTCACCCATGTTGCAAAAATTAAGCCATGTGGTTGGGTTGTGCATGGTCTGTGATCACCCAGAAGAAAATTGACTATGCTTGAATAGTGCTGGTGCCTACTTTTATGGCACCAGCATTATTCAAGCTGGTGAATAGCTTGTCTCACAATATTTATGTGAATGTATTGAAACAAAGAAATCATGCCCAAAGTGTCGTTGGATGAAACATTCCTTTAATTCGTCATGACTGGAGCATGGGGAATAATTCACCATACATGCTCACCAAAATACAGTTCCTTCCGATAATTATACATTGTAACATTCAAAGTTGCCTCCCAAAAACACCCCCCCCTTATTAGGACGTGATCTTATGCTCAGATTTCACCTAGTTGGTCTTTCGTGGATCAAGACTGCCATCTACTGTCTCTTTTGCAGCAGAAATTTGGAGTGGGGGTCTCACTTTGGGGGTCATTTTACTTTGGGCTCGCATATTCATCCTCACTAAGTCAACAAATTCAGATTGATGATTCTGACCTCTGACCCTCATCTGATTGTCTTTGCTCACTACGAGACACATCTATCACTAGTTAAAAGATAACAGAAGGTTATTCTCTACTGTTGCCTTAAGATCAGGAGCCAAAAAAACTCCAGGCCAATTTAGTATAGAGACAAGATATAGAGAACAGGTCGTCAATGAAGGCCTTCTGGCACAAGGAGTACACACAGTGCGCAGCCCCCATGTCCAGGGGTTCCACAATTTATGGTCTGATCCGAGAACTACCCGTCCCCAGATCCTCCCCAAATCCTCCCCCCGGCACACCTCTTCGGAATTGAGTTGGGGGGTCCCAAGACCCCTTTCTTCCTCATCTTCCTCTTCTTCATGGCACATACTGTCTTTGGAGCTTCTCCAAGGTTCCGGGCTTGAAGGTTGCTTTGACTATGATGGTATCTTGTTCAGGCCTGAGGTGCATATGTTCTTAAACAGAATATATTTACTAAAGTCCTGCCTTGAAAAGGAGCCTAAACAAACCTAAAGAATTTAGAAAATTCAATATGAAATGGGGAAATAGGGTTTGGTGAGTGTTTAACTACTATTCCAAAGTGTGAGAGACTATACAATTATACAAAAAATCTATATTTACTACACAGCTACTTCTAAAATCTACAAAAAGCTAAAATTTCTAAAAATTCAAAGGCATCATGACAAAAACAATTCTTCATTGTGTTTAATGCTTAGCAGAACAGCTTCTATTGATTGTGTCCTTTGAAGCATATGTTTCATTTAGTTAACTTCCTTCAGCTATTTTCAATTATCTTAGCTTCCCCTACCCTTATCTTACAACACTAAACTAATTATATGTATACAAGAAAAATAGTCAAAATGGCAAAACTCAGAAAAGCATACATTTTGGTTGATAAAGATACAACTCCTAAGGTCAAAGAGCACTAAACTCCTCAATTCCTAATCAAGGTAGAAATGTTGCCCCTTTCAACTCAGTATTTTGACAAGGAAATTTGTTAACAAAGAGTTCAAATCCTAGGTTCTGAGGCAAAGTTGGTGTCGTGGTTTAGCTGCCCAGCGGGAAAGGACCTGGGGGTGCTGGTCAACAGCCAGCTGAACATGAGCCAGCAGTGTGCCCAGATGGCCAAGAAGACCCTTGGCATCCTTGCCTGTATGAGTAATAGTGTGGCAAGTAGGACTAGGAAAGTGATTGTCCCTCTGTACTTGGCACTGATGAGGCCACACCTTGAATCTTGTGCCCTGTTTTGGACCCCTCAAGATAAAAAAGACATTGAGGTGCTGGAGCACGTCCAGAGGAGGGCAATGAAGCCAGGGAAGGGTCTAGAGGGTAAGTCCTATGGGGACCTGCTGAGGAAGATGGGGTTGTTTAGCCTGAAGAAAAGGAGTCTCTTAAAATTCCTTTCCAAACTTAATGTTTCTATGATTTTATGATTCTAAACATTGAGGTTGCAAAAGATTTAGGACCAAAGGTGAGGGAGGAAGAGGAAAGGGGAGGAGGAAGTGATGAAAAAAGGCTACCTGGGAAGATTTGGAATATAGGCTACATACAGAAAAAAGTAAAGCAGAAATATTTTTTCATGTTATCTCAGTACCCTTGGTAATAAACAAAACCTAGAAAGGCAAAAGAGCACAATCACAGAGAAAAATCCAAAAGGATCAGGACTGATCCGTCTTGCGAAGTCTTTATTAAAGATCATTTTAAATGTCGTATGAGCATAAACTCAAAAAGTTTGTTTCTGTCTAACTTTCTCTACATAAAGAGTGGAAGAAAGACAACACATATTAAGGTAACAAACTCTAGATAGCTTAGTATAACAGCAGAAATCAAAATAAGGCAAAAAAACTGCAGCTGGAGGAGAAATAAAATTGAAAGACTTTTGGGTGAAACCCTAGAAATGCTCCCAGTAGCTCTAGGATTAAATATCTGATATTTATTTTAAAAGTTTACATTTGTATTGATTTTGATTAGTGTTTAAATTTAGAATAAACATTGTTCTGTCAAATATATCTCAGTATCATGAGGTGGAGAATCAAAAGGGAAAGAAATTTTAACCCCAGCTTTAAAAACTTCAGTGATCTCTCCATCCTGCCTCAGAACAGTTCCTCACATTTTTTTTTTTTTAAATTCTGGAAAGGTGTTACAGGCTTCAGACATAATCTTAAAGATAAGAACTTATTCCATAGATAGTCATAAATAACTAAAATAAAACATTTCATAAAATAGTTCAGTGACATCTGAAAATGTATAAAGCTCTGTCTTAATGGAAAAAAGATGTTATTTTTACAATATATTAGCTAACAGTAGTAAATGCAATGTAGTGAAATCCTATTCTACACAAAATAGGTAAATGCATCTGAACTGGCTAATGCAAATCCTACGATTGCACAAGTGATCGCACGGATGCTAGTCCATGCAACATCTGCAAAGTATTTCACCCATGTTAGGACTTCAAAATGTTTTTACTGTGTGTCTGTAAAGTAAGATACACGCAGGTACCCTGAAACAGGAGGGTAGGCCCAAAAGAGTTAACTAAGAAACTTGGGCCTGCTAACAAGTTACTTACATCCAAAACGATCTGTGCTTGTTCTGTTCTACTTACTGGACCAAAACTTAACAGAATGGTAGAAGTACATGTAATAGACCTAGAGGCAATAAATTAGGATGCAGTAAGATAAAGTAGACATTTGAAAAGGAGAAATAGGCCAGGAGCCAGGGTTTTCTCCAAGCTTCAGTGAGCGGGTCAAGAACAATGGAAAGGAAGAAGGGTCAAGCTGATGAAGATGAGTTTAAGCCTCCAGACCCATGGGAGGAAGGGCAGAACAACCCCCACAATTGAGGGCCAAGAGAAGCGCCGCCCCAAACTCTGCCTGAGCTCCACCTATACTCTGCCTGTTATCAATATGTATGAATAGATGTTGTAATCACTTGAATATGCATTTAATCATATCTGAAAATTGTGTAAAAGCTGCTGATTTTGTGTGAAGCCTTTGAGCAAGTTTTTCCAGCAATAGCTGGCTTGCTCCCAGCGCTGCTAATAAATACCTTTGCTGCTCAAAAGATCAAAGTCTCTGGGCAGTTCATTATACCCAGTTTTTCGGATTCAACCCCCAAAAATGCCAAGGCAGTGGAAAGAATTCAAAAAGGTTTATTCTGAAGACAAAGACACTAAAACTTACAAAGGGAAACCCACACCAGGCTGTGAAGCAGCACTGGGCCTGAGAGAGAGTCGCCTCCTCCCTCTTCTTCAATTTTATTATCTCTCTGGCCTCTCTGCTGCGCCTGCTTGTAACATCTATTTTATCTCTCCGCATTCCAGGGAGCTGCCCACAGGGGCAGCTTTTCTCTGGAATGTAAGAGGTAAAGAACATTTCCCCTATCTTTGGAAAAGGGGTTTCTTCTTAGGCAGAAAGTCTCCTTTAGGTGACATTCTTCCAAAAGGGTACTTGCCCCTACAGTGTCACAGCTCCCCTAATTCCTTGCCTGATGTTAAGGGAGCTGTTGATGAGAAAAATAAATGTACCTTTTGTTGTTAGCTGTTTGCACAGCTCCACCAAAGTACACGTCACTCATGCATAGCATACATGGCATGCACAGCGTACATGGCATACACAGCATACTAGTAGATCACTTACAAGGCGATTTCTGCTAAAATCAACCGTCCCACAAAGTCTTACCTGTGTAGGAAATTATTTTTTGTCGAATTGGAGGTTTTGAAGCAGATAGTTGAAAAAATGGGAGCTTTAAACACTTGCCAGTTACTCTGTCAGAGATGCTAGAGGGACAGTTGCAGGTTTTCCTGCATTCTATTCCATAGGTACCATAAAGACACTGAAAAGAAAGTAATATAGCAAAGCAGTCTGCAGTGATCCAAGTGAGCTGCCAGCACTCTTAATAACTGGTCTGCATATACCCCTAAAAGTGGAAAACCTTCGAGTGGAGGTCAGCTAAACCTGAACTACAGAATTTCAGGATTCTGACTGTTACAAGTATTTTCCAGTTTCAATAATCATAGGTTTTCCTTACCACACATTATATACATATTTTTTTTTCCTATAGATTGTTTACAATGTGCTATCAGTAATCCTCTGAAACACTTGTAGTAATAAAATGCAAATTAAAGGCAATATGAATATGCAAAAATGTATTTGTAGTTGAAGGATTAGCACTGGATTTAGAAAAGAAGACTTCAGAAAGTTCCTGAATTCACTATTTGGCATGATATTATCTGACTTACATGACTTGTGATTTAGAGCTGCAATCTATTGCTGGTGATGAGCTGCTCACAGCCAGGGACACTGCTCAGTAAGTACCTGTGGAGGTTGCTGACCCAACCCTGAGGAGCTATGCAGCATGGCAAATGCATCCTCCACCTGTGAGATGCTCCCCTGCTCCTGGGGGATACCCTACCCTTTGCAATAACTTCTCAAACAACAAAGTATTACTGAACAAGTTATATTTTTTTTAAGGAGTCTATGCAGCAGTGGGGGAAGATGTTGGAAAATTCTTTTAACTTTAGTAAAATAGTGTTTGATCCCTACATCTGTAACTAATAGTCTTGTGTCAGCTAATGCTTCCTTGTTTACTTATATCAGTGATTAATATGCACTAGCAGATGTCTTAGTTTTGAGAACAAGGATTATGTGTCAGGGCAAAGAATGATAAGAGAAGTACATTATGACCTGACCACATATTTGAGACACTCTCAAGGAGAAAAGATTCATCAGAAAATCTGATACCATATCCAAATAAGTCCATGGAAATAATTAGTATGTATTCAGGAAATTTAATTAATATGTAATAGAAATGTGATGAATATGTATTAGTTTCAGGAATATAACCTAGCCTGTTTGGTTGCTGGGTGTGCATGCTTTATGGAGCTATCCTCATGCACCCAGAACACTGAATAAAGTAATGTCGGCTTTCTAACCTAGCAAACTGGTTGGAGAGTTTATTTCCCGGTTTTCGGTGACAGTTTTCTGGCACCCCAGATGGGATGAAGTGGCAGTGACTCAGTAGACCAGAGGAATTGTTAGCACTCCAGCATGAACTGAAGTATTTTCAGGGAGATCTTCTGATTCTCTGTTCTGGTGAGTAGACCACGCCTCTCCTTCTGGGAAAAAGAATACAACATTACTTAAGGTACTTTAAGGTATTTTGCCTGCACAGAAGTTGCACCAATAGGAAGTATGCAGTGTGAGTCTGAGAGGTTTATGTAACTGGCATTTACACAAGGAGGTTGCTGATTATCAGGCAGAACATGAGAAATTGGCAAAATTGTTAGATGCTGAAAAGAGTCCTGAAGAATGGTGGATACATTGGGGATGGTGTAATCCCCAACACTTTATGAGGAAAATCACAGAGGAAGAACATAAAGTAACTCGTTGGGGAATAGAGTCTATAGTAGAAGCATTGAAGCCTCAAGTTTTGAGTGTACGAATTACTGGTATCATAAAAAGCATTGTTAGAAAGTGCCAAACCTGTTTAAAGAACAATACACATCTGTCATAGTTTGAAACTGGTCCCCCCTCGAGAGAGGGGGTTCAGAGGTGATTGGGTGCCAGGGCAGTGTTCCCTGAAGAGCCAATCACCACTCATGTTGTTCGCTTCTGCTCAAAATCATATATACACAGCCACCGGAAGCTGTTGGCAGTTCTGTTGTTGGTGTCTGCTGCGTGTAGGTGTGGAAGGCCAGGGGGTGGCTGGGCTCCTTCTTCCCCCCCCTCCAGGGGGGAGAGGGGAGCCCTGCGGCCCCCCAAATCTGCCTAGGCCAGAGCAGAGTTAGAGGCAGCATTTTGAGTGTGTGCAGTGAGGTAAGGGACTCACAGCACTTGAGGTAAGAGGAGAGAGGCAGGCTTTGCAGCAAAGCCCTCTCTCCCCCCTCCTTTCTACAGTAAAAGCTGTGGAGGGGGGCTTTTCCTTTTCCTCCACTGGAAAGTGGAGGAGAGGCTCAGCATTGAAGCTGAGCCAAGAGATAGGCTGGAGGAGGAGGCTCGGCGCTTGGGAAAGGAATCCCAGGCAAAATTGGAGATGGACCCCGGAGAGAGAGAGGGGCCCGGGGGATGTCTTTACTGTGACCTAAACGGAGGACAGCCGAAAACCCGAGGAGGAATCAACATTCCACCACAGATGCTTAATAAGCTGGACTACACTTACAGCAGCCTACGAACCAAGGTATGAGAACAGACTCAAAGCTATCTTTTTGGACTCCGTGAGGAGAAAACTGCCACAAACAGCTGGAGCCTGGTGAGGGGGGAGCATTCGGACCCAGAATACTCCCACGAGAGAGACTGTGTTACCTAGCAGCCTTGAAAAGGCTCCTTCCTGGACTAAAGTTAAAGGGAGGGGCTTAAAAGGACTGAGAAGTGTAATAATGTAATATATATAGTTGCCTTTAGTTTGTATAGTATTTATTTGGGGAGATAGACAATAGGTTAGCGAAGGCATACAGTGCTTTTGGAAAACTCCATAAATGAGTATGGCGTAATAAACACTTGAAGAAAAGCACCAAGATCAGTGTTTACAGAGCCATAGTGCTGTCTACTCTTTTATATGGTTCCGAATCATGGGTCATCTACCGCCACCACCTGCGTCTCCTAGAACGCTTCCATCAACGCTGCCTCCGTACAATCCTAAACATCCATTGGTCAGACTATGTGACCAATACCTCTGTTCTCGAACAGGCAGCAATTACGAGTATTGAGGCCATGTTACTGAGAACGCAACTGCGTTGGGCAGGGCACGTCTCTAGGATGAAGGACCACCGCCTCCCTAAGATCCTGCTCTATGGTGAACTTGCCACTGGCTGCCGCAAGAGAGGAGCTCCAAAGAAAAGATACAAGGACTCCCTGAAGCAACAACTCAGCCTCGGGCATATTGATCACCATAACTGGTCCACTCTGGCCTCTAATCGGGAGGCCTGGAGACAGACCATTTATAACGCTGCTGATGCTTTTGAGAAGGCACGCAGGATCACTCTTGAGGAGAAAAGACAACGCAGAAAGAATCGAACCTTGCAGAATATACCATCTAAGGAGTCTTTCTGCTGTGTCTTTTGCAACCGGACTTGCCTTTCTCGTATTGGCCTTTTTAGCCACCAACGCGCTTGCATGAAAAATGGGTAGAGCCCTTCCCAAATCTTCGTTCGCGAAGCCTAGCCATGATAAATGTATATACTTCCCCCTTCCCCTATAGAAGCCTCTGGCCTGAAAGTTTCTCTTCGGTGTTGGGATAAATTGCAGGAGGGGGTGGAGAAGCCTGAACATTGGATTTTTGGATTTCTAATGTGGTTCAAACTGCCACAACATCAAATTAGACGACCTAGATCTGGGACTGTTAAGAAAGGAAATTGTCCAGGAGACTATTGGCAAATAGACTTTGCAGAGCTTCCACAGCAAAACAGGTACCGGTATTTATTGTTACTGGTAGATACTTTTTCAGGATGTCCAGAAGCTTTTCCTTGTCACACCAACAAAGCTAGGGAGGTGGTAAAGGTTTTGTTGAAGGAAATTATCCCAAGGTTAGGAGTGCCAGTGGGAATGTCATCAGACAGAGGTTGAGACTTTATTGCTGAAAATAGTGCAAAGCCCAGCTAAAACGTTAGGGATGAAATGGGACTTGTACACTCCATGGAGACCTCAGTTGAGGGGAAAGTAGAAAGAATGAATCAGCGTCTAACAAATATGTTATATCCCTGGGGAAGTTGTTGTCTTCTGTCCACAGATACATTGTGATGACAGCACCCATGATGCTGGATGTCACTGCCCATCCATACGAACCCAAAGACTGGGTATACCACAAAACCTGGTGTGGGATGATGGATAGAGGTAAACCTAGAGGGGATTCAGAATTTTAAGGTAAAAGCAGATGCAAATCCCTGGGCAGACTGAGGTCGACATGCTCCCCAATACAACGATAAAGGAACAGAGGAACAGAACGGAGTGTGGAACAAAGTGGAGACTATGTGGCTCCCCTCCATTCTAATCCCAGAAGAATGGGGGAACATTGTGGCACTGAGACCATATAGTACCTGTCTGACAAGGGAGAATCAAGATGTTCTGCTGCTGAAGCCAACAACAACATCGAACCCCCTCCTTGGGTGCCAAGCCACAAACAACCCCCCCTCATTAGGTACACCAATCAGAAATAAAAGGTATTTATGACTAGAGCCACTCAAACTTCACCCAAACATAAAGAAAATAGTATAAAAGTAAGTTGGGGACTGGGAGAAAGTGGGAGAAGACCTCCACCGAAACTGCTAGGATCAGTCGACGGGCTGAGTCCATCTTCTCCCCCCCCAGAGTGACCCCTTAGGTGAGAAATATACTCTACGCACGTTAAATGCTGCTTTTAGGACTAGAGCTTTTATTTGTGCTTAGTCCATAGCATGTTAGTGGATTGCTTCATATTAGAGCTTGTGCTTGCTTAATATGCGTATCAGTAGACTAGTTAAAATATTTTTTTGCAGTAGACACTATTACTGACAAGCTTTGAACCTTATTAATCTGTCGCAATTTGTATTAATAAAAAGTGTTATTCCTTAAACTGTTAAAGTGAGTCCTTGCAGTTGCCGGCAGCGGATAACACCTTGACAGGACCCGCTGAGGGGTCTTCGCTCTGTTGAGTCCCCCCAAACAAGGGTGGTTGAGGTACCCTCCGACCTTGTGAATCTGTTGGTGAAGGGTCTCATTACGAGACGCTGACAGACTGTTGGACACCAGGGTCTCAACTTTCCTGGGAGACTGATAAGCAAAAATCTTAACTCCCTCCTTTCCCATGACATTAAATTGGGGAAGCGAGCAGGGTTGTCATGGATAATCTACTGCAAAAATACAAATGTGCTCCTTTCCAAGCTGGAAAGGAGTGGGTTCAAAAGTTTCAGAAAGGTAAAGTTGTAGAATGCATTGAACAATACCTGGCTGAACAGAGACATAAAGAAGGAAAGAGTAAAGGTGCAATTTGTGCAGTGTTAAAAGCCTGTTTGTCTCATGAGCAACAAGAAGGTAAAAATCCACCTGCTTCTAGTGTTAAACTTTGTCAGTTTTACCTCCTCCGAAAAAGGATAAGCACTTATGCAGCGCAGGGACAAAACGCTGCCCCTGCGCCCGCTGCCTCCATGCTGCTGGGGAGGTCCGTTGGACTCGCTGCACTCCGCAGAAACAATGCAAAAATTCCTTAAATAAGCGCCAACTACAACGCCTGCGGGCAAGCGTAGCGGCGCAGGGTTTGAAAAAGCACTTGTCAGCAGCGGCAGTGCGGGAGGCGCTGCCGCGGGACTTGCACAAGCTCACGGCGCGGGCTCGCGGCAGCGGCGACACCAAAACGGCGCGCGGCGATGCGAGGCTTGTTCATGCCGGCGACAGCAGCCGCGGCGGCAGCGGGCAGCCGCGGCGCTGAGGCGCGGGACCCACGGGCGAACACCCCCCACTCAGCCCTGGCCCGGTGCGACAGCCTCGGGGCCGCGGCGCGACAGCCCCGGAGCCGCGGCAAAAACAGCGGCTCCGGCTGCGTGGGAGCCGGGGGGGCTGGGGCCGCTCCGAAATACAGACGGCGCGCAGCGAGGCGCGGGGACACGGCCAGGTAACTGCGCCCCGGGGCCACGGCATCGGCAGCAGCTTCGGCTGCCCGGGACGCACCGTGCCGGGACAGGACGCGGTGCGAGCCAGCGGCGCGGCGGGGAGCGGCTGCGTGGAGCCCCGCCAAGCCAGGACGGGACCGGGGCTGCCCGAAACCAGGGCAGGGGCTACCCCCCTTTCGCTGTGGGGTGCTGGAACTATGCCAAGCCGAAGCAGCGTGAGCTGCGAGCAAACCGCGGCACAGAGGAAAAAAGCGGCAACAAGCCACAATGGGAGTCAGCGCTACAGCAGCTTTGCAGGGAGCGCGCGGGGCTGGGGCCGGGGCCATGCGAACTGCAGACGCACGGCAGAGCCCTGCACGGATTCTGCCGCGGGCAGAGAGGGAGACAGCGCGGCCCCCACCCGGCGCCGACAAGAGATCCCTGCGGGGGCGGCTCCTGCCGTCTGCGATGGAAAATAAGTAGCAAAGCCGGAGCCGGGAAAGAACGGCTCCCGCTCCTTGTGCTAAGACAGCGAGGCTGAGCTGCAGCCTAGCTGAGCTGCCTCTTGCACAGCTCAATGCTACAGCGTTATGCTGTGTGCCTCCAGAGACATACAGAACTGATTTAACTTTGTATCTTGTTGTCTTAATAACCTTTAGTAAGAACACTGAAGTTTTAAGAGTTTTTTCGTATGTTTTCATTAGTTCCTAGTGACTTTGTTAAGTTGTTGTTGTTAAATTGTTAAAGTTGTTAAGCCTTCAAATGCAACTGAATAGAAGCAGTTAATGTGACAATGTAGTTTAAATAACGTGTTTAAAAAGTTTTAGCATCTCCATATCTTGTTAATTAATGCATTCAGATGCTATTAGCCCAAAAAGGTTTGCCTAGTGTCAGCAAAAATGCAAAAATAACTGCTTGTGAGTCATAGCTGCTTAAGAAACTGAGTTAAAACTGATTATAATTTCTCTAACCAATATCATTCAAGAAGTGGGACTGCAAAATGCTCCAGAAAAAATTCATCAACCCAATAATGGAACAAACCTGCGAAAGAGAAGATTGCACAGCATTCAACCTTGAGGTACAAGACAGTAAAAGACATTAAAATGACTTCTTGCTTTTACTTCAAGCTCCAGCTAAAGGACCACCTTTCAACCTTCAACTTTGAGGTAAAAAGACATTAAAAGCCATAAAATGACTTCTTGCTTTTTACTTCAAGCTCTTAGCTACCAAAAGCCATTCCTGGACAAAACTGCAGAGAAACTGCATGTTTGCCTGACCTTCACATCTGTTTCTACCACAGTGTCCACCTAGGACTGTTTAAATTGTTATTAACGTTTGTTAAGTTTGTTATTAAGGGCAAAAAGCAGCTACCAGAAATGGATAGACAAAGGCTGAAAAATTACCTGCATCCCAGACACTAAAGACAACTTGGTCTAGTTGCTTATGGGGATGCTAAGTTTCAAGCTGTGTTGGCATATTGTAATGATAACTTGTTTTATATACTGTGTTAACATATTGTAATGGTAACTTCTTTGTATATCTTTAAGTTTATTGACTTTTGATTTTCTGAACAAGGCTCACTTGTGGAGCAAGCTGTTGTCAAGGAGCACACTGCACACCAAACGTGTTTCAAAACAGTAAAAAAGAGAGGGGAAGGAATATAGGTTTCCTCTAGGTATGTAAACTTACATTAACTCTTCTTCAAAACAGAAAAATCACAAAGAAACACATAAACAATAACCACTATTAATTAACACTTATAGTTAAAAAGCAGAACAGAATGAATATACAGAACATGTGAGAATGAAATGTGTGAATAGCGGCTGCTGAATGAATGAAAAAGTTTTGTGGAGATATGTATGCGTGTGAACTCGAATACACTTTATGGCAAAGATGCCTTAAACAAGCATACAACCAATAACCACTTATGTATGAGTGTGAAAACTGTATAAATGAGAGAAGCTGTGTGGACATGTAAGTGTGTAGACTTGGAGATACTTCGTGCTTCATGTGCCTTGAACAAATTACACTTGCATAACACAACACTTGTTCTCTAAGGGCCCTTTCCTTGAAATGGAGTTGAACTTCTCCTGGTTGCACAAAATCCCTTGGATAGATAAAGTTGATGCTTCTGCCAATTACATGCAGACCCTTGGGGAAGTAGGGGTCAATGTTCTACCCAGTTTTGCTGAAGCCCTCAGATAATAAAGTTGTCGTTTATCCTAAATACACATAAAACCTTAGGTAGAAAGTTCTAAGCAAACTTGCTTATTACAAGTGCTAAAGGTTGCACTGTTTATGGAGTTATAGAAGTTTCAATAAAGGCCTTATCAGGTTAGGCCCTGATTACATAGATAGTTAAAATAAGTTTAAGAAAAAGGTTAAGAATTGTTCTGTTGCTTGTCGTAATGTTAAAAACTGTTCTATTATATGCATTGTTCTGTACTTCTTCATTAAAATAAAAATGGGGGCTATGTAGGAGTCGAGTTTTAGGAAGGATGCCAGAGGGGCATCCTGGGATGTGAAGTCCAAAAGTACTCCCGTGCGCATGGGCAGTGAGATACCCCATGGTGATTGGTCAAGGGAGTCACGTGTTACTATTTGAACCCCATTTCTCCTCACTTCCCCCAGATATGGTGGGACCCCTCATGCTCTGAATCGCCTCCCAGTTCTCGCGGGAACCTCCATCTTCCCTTGCTTTCACCCCTCCACCGGTTCGCGACCTGTACCCTGGTGCGTGCTGCGCCTTCCTTCAACACCGCATGGTGGCATGGGAAAATTTAACAAGAAAATCTAAAACCACCACATTATCCACCCCAAATTTTTCCATACCAACATGCTTTATCTGATTTAAACTTTTCAACTACACAGATACATGCATTATTCCAATTATATACACATTTACAAATATTTACATACAGGCACAGTATTATGGACAGTTTACCCAAAAATTATGTCCTTTTGAGATATACAATGTGCTTCCCCATCTTTCTGCATTACTCTTAAAGTGCAACCTGGTCCTTGAGCAAAAACGATCCCACGAATGGGTTTGCCTTTGCTTGAGGTGGGACTAATCCAAAATGTTTTCCCAAGTATACCTCTCAGGTGCACTACAGGGACTTCATCTCCTACTTGAAACAGAGCAAGGATTTTTAGAGGCTAAAATCCTGCTCCGAGAAGAGGCTCACAGATACCACTTTGAGGAATGCTGCATTTAGGTTGTAATGACAGAGACAGAAAACGTGTTATGAGATTAATTAAAGGAAGAGAAGGTATCAGGCTCCGAGAGGCCTGTTTGTCCTTGGTATGCTCTATCCTAATGAAATATAACAAAAAGGTTAGCCTAGTAGTCATAAATTAGATAAGATGGACATTCGGGGGGGTTGGAGAGCTGAGTAAAGGGGTTTTTAGTAAGACTTTCGCACGTAGTCAGGAAAAGTTGAAAAGTTCATGAAGATGAAGAACAAGAAAATGACCCCCATGAGGCCGAAGAAGATGGAATGATCCCCAGGAATCTACCCAAAAGGATGACTCCACCTCAAACTCTACCTGAACCCCACCTGATATGAATATTATAACTAGATGATGTAATTGTAATGAATATTCATGTAAAATATTGTAATCCCTCACCAAAATTGTATAAATTACCTGACTTTTCACTGAGAACTTTGGAGCTAGTTTGTCCAGCGCTAGCTGGCTAGCACCCCAACATTGCTCGAAATAAATACCTTTGCCACTTAAAGACTCAAAACTGTCTCTGAGCAGTCATTTTATGCTGTTTTTGGCATCATACTGTGGTGTGAAGGGGTTCTGATTGGGCATGACCAGCTTCGTTGACAGAACCTCTAATGTTGACTAATCAAATAGCCTTTGCTAAATGCTGATCCCAATGCTTGAAAGTGCCCCCGCCCAATGCCTTCAAAGTAGTTTTCAACAGTCTGTTACACCATTCAACCTTCCCAGCAGCTGGTGCATGATAGGGGATATGGTATATCCACTCAATACCATGCACTTTAGCCCAGGTGGTAACTAGGCTATTTTTGAAGTGAGTCCCATTGTCTTACTCCATTTGCTCTGGAGTGCCATGTCGCCACAGGACTTGCTTTTCAATGCCCGGGATGGTGTTCTGGGCAGTGGCGTGAGGCACTGGGTGCATCTTCAGCCATCTGGTGGTTGCTTCTGATGCCTGCTCAGCTGGTGCTAAGAAAAAAAAACAAAAAACAAACTTGGAAGTAGTTAATTGAGGGTGAGATAAGGAAAGGGTTTAATTGTGCCAAGGCAATAGATGTTACAGGACACGCCGTGTCTGTGCTTGAGATGTTACATTTTTATAACAATATCTGTCCAATCCCGCCTCCCTAAGATCCTGCTTTATGGTGAACTTGCCTCCGGCTGCTGCAAGAGAGGAGCCCCGAAGAAAAGATACAAGGACTCCCTGAAGCAACAACTCAGCCTCGGGCATATTGATCACCATAACTGGTCTACTCTGGCCTCCAATCGGGAGGCCTGGAGACACACCATTTATAACGATGCTGATGCTTTTGAGAAAGCTTGCAGGATCACCCTTGAGGAGAAAAGACAATGCAGAAAGAATCGAGCCTTGCAGAATATACCATCTAAGGAGTCTTTCTGCTGTGTCTTTTGCAACCGGACATGACTTTCTCGTATTGGTCTTTTTAGCCACCAACGTGCCTGCAAGAAACGTGGGTAGAGCCCTTCCCAAATCTTCGTTCGCGAAGCCTAGCCATGATGATGATGTCCAATCCCAAGTGTGTCCACCCCGTAGCCTTTGCTCTAGTCCACCTCCTGACCCACCCCCTGGAATTGGGTCTGGGGTGCATTTCGGGACCACCTCTTCATCAATCTTCATCTTCTTCGGGGCACAAAGGGCACACAGTCACCTAGTTTCTGACCATGTTCTGCAGTTTAGGCTAAGATACAAGCATTCTCCAAACAGAACAGGCCTTGCTTTGACAAGAGACTAAACATTTCTACTGGATTCGGGGGTAGGACTGATATAGGGAGAATGGAATGGGGTAAGAGGGTTAAGGAATGTGTAAACTAAAGGGTGCTACAGGGTAGAGGGACAAGGGCTGCTGCTTTTAAAATCTCCTTCTACTACTTATAAAACTTATAAGGCTTACAAAAATTAGAAAAATAAAAAACCATTAGGGGTTTAAGGCATCACTTCCACCATGGTGAGCACTGTGATGGTTTCAGTCTAGGCCTTCCTGGAGACCAGCTTGTAACCAG